GCGTGCCACACTCCCTATATAAAAGTTTAAATAGTTACAGAGAACCAGTATTAGATGCTTTCAGCCACACGGTGTTCACAAGGGCCTAAACCGGCACCATGATTGCCGGATATGAGTAACTAATATTTTGTTTTTGATGATCCGAATCCCTTTTCTAAATGCTGTTTATACGGGGAGTGATTCCTTCTAGTAAAAAAAAACTGCTGTGTCTCACCTGCACCAAAACCATTACGTAGAGCCATATATAGGGCTCTTCATAATGTTCTCTATCAGCCAAACCCCAAGGATGACTGGGGAATAGAAATTAATACGGTAATTTTTGGTTTCTTCCGACCAGCAGTAAAATCATTGCCAAAGTGGGGCGTCCGTTTGGTTGATCGTGTTGTATAAATTCGCAGCCAAGTCCGGTCACTGAGAATGGGGACGTTAAATCCGATGCCTCGTGTAGAGAGATTGCCACACTCTCGGCACTTTAAGAACCATTGCAACAACTATTTTAGGGTCCGTATAGGTGGCCTGTTGCAAGGATAAATTTCTTTCCCTATTTAATATACCCTATTTTTTCAGTGTCATATTGTATGTATTTTTGATTTGTTCTCGTCCTGATCATGCATGAAATATTTGCCACTGGACTTTTAGAAACTAACAATCAATCAATCAATGACCCTGCAATTTGATTAATGTGGCCGCAATTTCTGTTCATATATATATAACAAACTGGGGTTGGGTTTTTTTGGGGGGAAGAGGTGGGTTATCTTTTTTTTTGGGGGGGAGGGGAGAATCCAGCGCTGTCAAATATCTCTCCTCCTTTAAAATCACTTTTAATATATATATATATATATATAAATTCGGTCGCAATCGTCTCTTTGGTGCCTTTTTGAACTGAAATATGTCGCGCATATGCTTGTAGAGTTGTCGTTACCAACAAGGTTGATATTACTTTATATAGAAATTGAGGGTACTAATATGCATTTTACGTTGTCACTTATTCTCAGGTACTTCAGCTTAAACCAAAGAGATATTTTCCTTTTTGTCTAGTTGCATCTGATAAGACAGAAAATTCAGAAAAAAAACTTTCATATAAGTCAGTCAACAAATGATCTAACATGAATAAGTTTTTTGTTTGTTGTTTTTCTTTTAGCAAAACGGTTCTCTCTAAAATAGAATGAGCTAATGATCATCCTACTTTTACAATATGACCACAATAGTTAGGACAAAATACAAAAGGCATTGAAAAAATATTTTTCTTGTTTGAAAGTTTCAAACACGTGAACGGTCCAATCGGGACCAAAACTGTCCACAACAGTAAGTCTTTAGAGTGTTTATTATGACAATGTTTGTCAAATATGCCTGCCAAAAGTCCAAACGGCTAATCATTTGGTGTTACTACAAATAGCTACTAATTAACCGTGTTACTACAAATAGCTACTAATTAACCTTAATTAATATAGAAAACTCGCCAAACTTTACATTATTTATAAACAATCACTTGATGAACGGATGGGCGCAGGACGTTTTGCGCTTTTTATTTACCTGTAACACAAAAGGACACTTGTGCTCAAACAATATGGACATTTGCGCTTTAAGCTTTGATACACCTAAACATTTGCGCATTTTACCTATGAAAGTTTACCTGTAATCTTAAACAAATTTACCAAAGTCAAGGGATGCTATATACACATTATTTGAAAGATAACCCGTGCAAAATCACACAAAGTGTATTCAAGTAAAACATAAATAAAACGATTTTCTTATGGATGGAACATTTCAAAATTTGCACTAAATTTGTTAAGCAACTTTATACCAGATTTAAAATGGAAACTATATACCTCGTATGTTCGTTCTATTGTCTGGAAAGTCAGAGGATATCTTTTATCATAGTTTATCTCGGATAATTTCAATTTGTGGAGACCAAAATTAATTTTTTGACCACCTACTGTTCATGTCGGCTTTTAGGAGAGAATGATGGCTGTAATAAGGAGTTCACTTCAATTCACCCTCTTGGAGTGTTGTATTCATCTTACACAAGCATGATGGCGAAATATTTAGTAATTCGGACTTTCTAGGTGTCGGATGTGAAATTTCATTACCATTTATCTCTACTGAAAAGAGTAATTAAATATCTTTGTAAATACTCAAAATTAATCACTTTTTGACACCAGTTATATCAAGATTTTTTAAAGTGCAATGGTAATATATGAGCTACGCCGGATAGAAATCGACCTTATGTATATATGAGCTACGTCGGATAGAAATCGACCTTATGCAAGAGCACGTTTACATGTACATGTATAAGACTTTAATTTATTTTGGAGCATTCAAATACGAAATAAAAGATGGATTGTGGTCTGTTTGGTAGATTTTCTTATAACAGCTAAATTTTCAAACAGTTACAGACTTTCCATCGAGATGTATTTTCAACTCGAAATAGGTTAGCAAATGTAGTGATATTCATTTGCATAAGGTCGATATCTATCCGACGCAGCTCATATGTAGATTTTTTTTTATTTCACAAAATAAACTTATTAGAGTTACTTGATTTTTTAAAATAAAAGATGTTACTTCTTTTTCTTTTCACTTATTGAATAATATGTAATTTTCAAAATTCTCATGGACTAATTGAAATAAATTGTTCACACAAAAAAAAAAATTATGGGGGTCACATGATTGGTCAGTGGAAAAGCAACCCACCAACTAAAGAAAGAACCGGACAGCTTTAAGTTGTATATAATATAAAAATAAGACGATGTGGTATGATTGCCAATGAGACAAATCTCCACCAGAGACCAAATGACACAGAAATCAACAACTATAGGTCACCGTACGACCTTCAACAATAAGTAAAACCCCGCATAGTCAGCTATAAAAGGCCCCGAAATGACAAATGTAAAACAATTCAAAAGAGAAAACTAACGGCCTGATTTATGTACAAAATAATGAACGAAAAACAAATATGATGTACAGCAACAAATGACAACCACTGAATTACAGGCTCCTGACTTGGGACAGACACATAAAGAATTATGTGGCGGGGTTAAATTAGTTTGAAGGCGTCAACCCTCTCCCTAACCTGGGACAGTGGTGTAACAGTACAACATTATCATAAGAACAAATTATAAAAATCAGTTGAAAAGGTCTTAACTCATCAGATGGATACAAAGCAGAAATACATATAACAAAAACACAGATGGGACGTGGCAAAGTACTTATACATCCCCACAAGTACACGAATGGGCTGTGTTTTGTTTGTTTGTTTTTGTTTGTTTTTTGTTTTTTGTTTTTTTTTATATATCAAATGATTCATGACAACTCAAATGTTATGTTTATAAAGCTCAAATGACTTTATGTCCTGTAAAAGAAGCGCAAATGTCCTGTAGAAAAAGCGCAAATGTCCTATAGAAAAAGCGCAAATGTCCTTTTTTAAAAAGCGCAACTGTCCATTAAAAAAAGCGCAATATATTCCACAACGGGGAACCAAACCATGGTGGTGTCTGTAAAACTTTTGAAAGGAGGATTTCAACTTTACCAATTGGAACACTTGATGAAATAAAACCCTTGTATATACCAACCCTCTATCAAGTAAATCATCAGTGGCGGATCAAGGGGAGGGGTTCCGGGGATTGGAACCACCCTTTTTTTTGACGATCAATGCGTTTGAATGGGGACATATGGTTGGAAACCCCCCCCCCCCCTTTTTATCCTGGGTTGGAACACCCCTTTTAAATTTGGCTGGATCCGCCCCTGATCATGATAGGTAACGCGAGCCCTGGAATCTCGCATCAACTCAGAGATACATATGATCAATATGCAAGCGCTGTCAGATGGAATATACTGAAAAATGGAAAACTTAAACTATAATAGACGGCCGTAAATTATTGTTCTTTCCAAGTTCTCAACCGATCCACATTTACCATTTTAAGGACAACAGGTTCAGTTCAACAAGACATTTCGGCACCATGTTCAAAAAATATTTTGGCACCCATTTCGGAATTTTTGGTCTTCAATGCTCTTCAGTTTCGTACTTTATTTGGCCTTTTTATCTTTTTTTACTTGAACGTCACTGATGACTTTTATGTAGACGAAACGCGAGTCTGGCGTACAAAATTTTAATCCAGGTATCGATGATATATATTGGTTTCGGGACAAGAACAAATCAGCTATTTTTTTATTTATACGTCATGTATATACATACAGATTTATAAGCTTTGTTCATGATTGTTTAACTTTGTGATAAAAAAAAAAGGGCCATACGCGACCAGAGACATATATAGTACCCTAGCTGTATGTCTCTGACTACACAAATCCTTGCATGGTAAAAGTTAAGGCAGTAATAACAATATTATTTCAAGTCAATCAATTGGACAATTGCGATCAGCATATTCACCAAACAAAAAGGAAACCGTTTGAATTGTCCAGTTATGTAACCAAACATGACGTAAAAGGATTATTCCTGCTACATTTCAGTCTTCATCTATAAGAAGATCCTGTACGGAATTAAAGATGAAAATGCCGGTGACGATAACTGTAAACTAAGTTAATCTGATACTACAATATACGCCGCGATGATAGTCAGTGGTTTCAGCAAAAATAAAAATAATAAAAATAAATTTGACGCACTCTGCTCGGATCATGAATAGTAATCGGTTCTATTTGATTTATTTGTATGTATGTCCACTTGTACTCATTGTTGAAGGCCGTATCTATCATACCCACGACGTCTCTCTGACGGTCTCAGTGTAACTTTTTCATTAGTATTTTCATAGACATGAGGCTGGGACTACTGTAGTATGCTATGTCCCAGATATAAATGTCTCTGGTGTTTTACATTATTTTAATGATCTCAAGAAAATTTCCGTAGTCAATTTATCTCTCTTTAATTGAATTGTATTAAATTGCTTCTGGCATTATTTACATGTAAAAAAACAACAACATTGCATAGCTTGCGGCATAAGCCACGTTTTATCGAATCTTTCCTTTATTCGAATTCATATCCCATAACTATATTCACTTCCGTTTTCTTTTCATACCGGCATTGTACTAGTCTCTAGATTAAAGGTTTGTAGTATTACAAAAGTGTGAATATTATTAATGATTCGGTATATTTTTAATATGTATAAAATCTGTTGTAAAGAAATTCAGGCAAATGTTTCGATCCGATGAAATAAGTGAATGCTTTTCAATGTTCAAATGCTTTCCCATGCATTGTTTCGTCTGTCGACGTGGCTGTATAAATTTTTGACAATGCCTGACGCGAGATATTTTGCCATTTGCTTATTCCTGATAAGTATTGCTAATGTTCTAACATCAAGATTTTGAAAAATGAATTATACTATAAACGTTTCTTTCAATTAGAAATGTTTATAACAGCTGTGTTAGTGGGTTTGCCGAAACCTCCCCCTTTTTAGGTATTCATTCAATAACAGTTCCCTGGATACGTTAATAATTTTATTTTTTAGACGAGGATTGAATCATCTCAATGGCTAGTAGGATGCATGGGTTCTGGTATTAAAAGGGAGGTTGTTGTGGCTACACCTCCAAATAATTTTTGGGGGGGGGGGGGTATTCAAGTACACTTTGTAGGGTGAGCTCAATTAAGTGGCGTATATTTCAGCATAAGGGTTTTGGATTGTAAAAAATTAGCACTGTAGTTAACAAAATAACATATTTGGGATCTCCTGTAGTTGGTGATCGCAATACTGGTATACCGTGCACAATACTGGTATAAAAATTTTGTACCAGTATTGTAACTTTTAAAAAAAAAGACAGCAATACTGGTACATTACTGATAACCCAGTATTGTAGTTGTATTGTTGACTATAATTTAAGGTGTATAATAAAAAAATGAATTTTAAGCTAAAGAAGATATTGAAGATCAAACATGTCAAAAGGGGATTAAATGAACTCAAAAAGATTAAAGAGGAATATAGTGAAATTAATCAACAACCAGTTAAAAATAATCACGATACTCATAATTATATATAAGCCCTAATTAAAATCAAAAAGATACATGTTACACAAATAAACAAAAGATTATTGTAATTAACTCATATTATTCCAACAATTGTTAATTATATAAAATAATTGCTATTCATTTTATCATATTTCTATGTTTTTTTTAATTCAATTTAGGTAAAATAAAATAAAAGCTTATTATCATCTGAGTTATTGTTAAATAAATTCAAGCAAATTATTACACTCTTAACACTGTAAATTCAGCATTTACATGTACAAAAAATGTATGCCATCATATATTTTTTACAGATATTTCAATACATGTACACATGTATACTAAGATTATATGCATTTGTTGGTCTTTTATTTTCTAATTTATCTTTCACAATAAAAGATATCAATATCCATTAAACATAAAAAGTTGCTTAATAGGGGAACCTGATTATAATATATTTAACTACATGAATGTTTAGGGTAATTAAAGCAGATGATTCAGAACCATGGGCAACACAATTTGTAGCAGATATATCAACTGGTACAAATACTAGTACTAGACAAGCACTCCATCACCTACGATAGTAAGAGAGCCGTACAAGTGCCATCTAAAGAAGCTGGTCATGTTGTTAAGCGTAAGAGAAAGTCCACAGAGACTGAATACCAATACAGAAAGAGGAGGGTTGCAGAAATGCCATCTGAAGAAGAAATAGACAATACCAATGCTGATGATACAGCAGCTATAACAGCAATGTCAATATAAAATTCACTAAAATATACTATGAGTCTTGGAAAGAGAGCGCTAGAGCTGAAAGAAGAAAATAAAGAGTTTGTTGAAATGCTAGGACAGTACTGTTCCCTTAAGAAAAAAAGACATCAGAAGATTTAAATCTTTCTTTGATGACAATCGCAGTGTATCATCATTTAAACATGCAATCTATATGTCCAATCATTCCTTATAAAATTGTCATGTCATATGTTAATTTCATTATGCATATATATGTGACACCTACATGTAAGTCCTTTAATAAATTTAAAGATTAATTACCTATATGTATTGTTTATTTAAAAAAGACACAATACTGGAATACAATACTGGTACAAAATTTTATACCAGTATTGCGATCACCAACTACAGGAGATCCCATATTTGCCTTGGAACTGAATAGGATTTAAACAATATATAACAAACATGTATAGAATTGTGTTTTTAATTTCAGATGAAGTTGTGGGTGGCAGCTATACTGTTATCTTTTACCTGTTATACATTTGGAGATGAGGAAAATTCAGCTCGTTTGTTAGCATCTAAAAATATACTCAATCAGTATTTAGTAGAAGGAAGAGATTTAACAGTAGAATATAAAATATATAATATAGGAGCTAGGTAAGAAAGTTTGTTTCACTTTTTTCTAAGAACATTGGAAATTCAATGTTTAAGGTTCATCATAACCTTTCGGCTAATAAGGCCGTATTAACACCACAAATTACTGCATATGTTTTTGGAATAAACAAGTACACTTAAAGCTTATCCATGTAAAATATTTGAAAGATATAAAACAGTGAGGAGCATAAAAACCATAAAGGACCTACGCAAAATAGTGATAACTGGTCAACTTTGTTGTAAACACTAAGAGTTGCAAAGTTAACTTGGTATATAAATTGTAATAAGTAACTTAAAAGTTACAACACTACAATCATGACATTAAAATTTGGCAGTACAGAAGTTCTGGATACTGTGCATATGTTACATTTCTTGACTGACCCTTATACGGACAGCAGTGGTACTGACCCAGTGTTAGTATAATACTATAGGCATATTTAACATGTTTAACTGATTTCATTGTGTATTACCACTGTTTGTGATGATATAATATATGAATTGTATGATGTTACCTACAAATTTAAGAGTTAAGACATGTTTAAGAAACTAAACATTTATGGAAATTCAAAGTAAGATATATGGTGTATAAATTGCCAAAGAGACAGTTGTACATATAAACATTTTTTTTTACATTTGATTGATTTGTAATGTATGTTTAACTCATTGTATTCTGCTATTATTTCAGTGCTGCCTTAGATGTATCTCTGCGGGATGATGGTTTTCCTGAAGCAGATTTTGAAGTAATTCGTGGGAACTTAGAAGTTAAATGGGACAGAATTGCTCCGTATCCTTTCTCAACCACATGTTACACACCATCATAAGATCAATAGCTATGTGATCATGTGTGATATTGGTTTGAAAATCATTAATCTTTTTGGTTTGTTCCATAATATTTTTATTCTTTTGAAGTTTTAATTAAAAAAGGTCTTTAGAAAACAAGACCATTTTCACTTAATCTGGAGGATAAATGAAATCATGAATGGTAAAATGACACTAGTCAATATTGGTGTTTTGACAGAAAAACTTTCAGAATGTTTCTGCTAAAGAATAAAATTGTACTTCATCAATCTCACCAGAGACTTTTACTGTCATAACTGTAATTTTCGAATGTCTGTGTATAATAGAAAAGGATTAAACTGTATTTCACAAAAATTAAACCTGATAAACTTTCCCAATGACTTTACTTTTGAAAAAATGATTACATGTAGTTTCCAATCTGTGCAAACAGTTGTTTTTCATTGGAGGTTCCTACATCATATTACAACTAGTCACTTCATGACTTGATTTGAGATACTTACATTATCATGGGTATACATTGAAAATATGGTGTTTTGTTATTATATAAAACTACTACAAATGAGACTTTTGCATTAGTGTACAGTGATATTACGATAAACAATTGATATTTTTTACTAATTTTTTTTGCTCTCGTTAGTTTTGCTTAAAAATTTATTTAATATTCATAGAATACTGAACATTTAAAAAAATGATAAAATTAAGTACATTTGAGAAAAGTGTAAGTTATTTCCTTAACTTGTAGTGCATCTAATGTTACACATGTAGTTGTAGTGAAACCACTTCAATATGGATACTTCAACTTTTCATCTGGTGTTGTAACTTACAAGGATACAGAAGACTCAACTGAAAGCACTGTAAGTTTGTATAAATTGTGTGCAGTGTGCTTAGTGAAGAATGCATTTCTGCATTTTTTGCTTTTTGTTACAAAAAGTGTAAGTTGTTCACATTAACATATATTTCACTTTCAGATCATTATGTTTTGTACTCAATATCATGATATATATGTGAACATTAATTTTCATTCTTTGATGTATTTTAGAGGGGTTCAAATTATCGGTGGTCCTATGTCCGTGACCTTCCATTTACGGGTTCGGACCTTCCCACTGGTAGTTAGTTACACCCGACGGACTTTTGTATTTTTGCAAGTTAAAAAAGTTACAAAAGCATTTTGAACAAAAAATATAAAAATCTAGTAAATGTACTACATATAATTTTGAAAATATGCAAATTTATTGAAAGGAAACTTATGTGTTTGCTTAAATTCTTCACAATTGATTTGATGTGTAGTCACATGAACGGTCGTCATACAAGATACCGGGAAACTCAAGAATATAATATTAAAACATAACTAGTAAACGGTATGAGTCTGTATGGTTTGGGGTAACCTCTTCCAGAAGAAAACCTGATGAAATGGGGGATACAGCGGGGGGGGGTTGATGAAACGGCTTAATGCAACCAGAAAGACAAGATCTGACTAAAGACCAAAAATTTACAGGGAAAAACAAGAACATATTTTTTTCCAAACGTGACCCAGTGAAAGGGAAAGTGCCCTGGTTCGTTGGACAAAAAACTTAAAATTTGATCCCATAAAAAATCTTTGGTGAAAAATTACCACCAAGCATCTATATATCTTGCCAAAAAGTGGTTAAAAAAAACTTGACCCCGAGTTTGAAAACGAAGTTGAGCCGTTATCTGACAAAAAGTTAGGCTTGTGCGATCTTCAGCAGTAATTGAAACCAAAACAATTAAAAAGATACAAAGTGTTATTTAACACAGCATTTAGTGTTGGGGGAAAGGGGAAGCTTTTTTCTGACAGAATTTATTTAAGATATTCAGAAAAAAAATTAACAATGGAGTTAGATATGATGAGTGCTTTGGAATGGTAAGAATTTTCTGTTTTGATAAATTGAATTTTCAATTAAAATTGGACCTTCTAAGAATAAAGGAGGACCTTTAATTATTTTTGGTCAAAGGTCCTGGACCTTCCATTGCCTAAAGCAAATTTGAACCCCTGATTTTAACGAGTTGTTATGGTTATGAGACTTTATTATGGCAATTAGCTGTGAGACGATATTTTAACAGTTATTGTTTTGCTGATAATAATGAAATATTTTTGATATTAAAAACCCTGAAACTTTTTGACCTGTATTTTACTGTAAGACTGACTATTATACATGTGTAATGTACATCAACATGTATTCCACTGTGATTCAAGTAACTGATTCATGAAAAATACCAAAAAATGATATACAATGAAGAGCAGCTGAAATACAATTCTTAACCATACGGGTACATATCATGTTTTTAAAAAATTTATCATGCTGCATGTTACAAATTCAACCTTATATTAGAATATACATGAAAATTAGAAGAAAAATAATAAATCCTTGAGAAAAGATTTCTAATTTTAGCATTTATGAATTCTTTTTTTTTCTTCTCTGTCATTTATCCCATGAGACAGAGTCTGAGAATCAGATAATATCTTTTATACTGGGGCCTCCAGTAACGATATTAATTTTATATTGATCCATTGTTCTATGCACTATGATGATAATTCTGTTCTATTTATAGATTGGATATACTACTGCTCCAGGAGAAGGAGGGATTGTTAATAGTAAAGATTTTGATAGAAAATTCTCACCTCATGTAGTAAGTATTACAAAATATAAGCTTATCACCATTGTCAAACACAGTTAATAAGTCTTCAACTGGTGTAATTAATGTTAATTACAATGTTACGGCTACACTGATGTACAAGTATACTATTCATATAGTATTTCACAATATCTAACATATCTTATATGGCAAGGGACAGTACAAAAAACAAAAAATCGTGGTATTAGATATCTAACATAATTTACAATTAGACAGATACTATTAAATTTAAAACTTAAATGATATCTATCACATTTACTTTTAAAAGAGTAGATATTGTCTGATTAATCACTATGAAACAGGTTTACGTTGGGTGACACTCAAACATTCTAATTTATGTACAACATACATATAATATAAGGAGATGTGGTATGATTGCCAATGAGACAACTATCCATCAGAGTTCAAATGTATGTTTTTACTGTTGGTTATTTACCATAATGTTATATAAATCTTGAACAAGATCATGACCAGAAGAGAAAATCATAAGATCATAAAAGATAAGGACCAGAAGAGAATAATATCATGCACACATAAGGCAAGTCATACCAATTTTCCCGATATAATTAAGCTTTAAAGAATGCTTAATAGGTATGCTCTGAATCTGTGAACCAACAATAAAGTGATACCTTTATACTTATATTAAATGGTTTGAAATGAACTATTTAAATGAAATTTAAACATGTATTAATTTTTTTTTCAGTTGGACTGGTCAGTGTTTGCTGTGATGACCCTGCCATCTTTAGTCATTCCATTTCTACTATTTTACAGAAGTAAAAGCCGATATGACCAACCTAAACCAAAGAAAAATTAACATTTGTCTATGCAATTATAATTTTTCTTTAATAAAAACTTTTATAATTTTATTACCTGTTTTCATAAGATCGCAAAACATTTTGCGGTCATATATTGGTATCACGTCGTCCGAAGACATTTGGTTTCCAGACAATAACTTTAGTAAATGTAAATAGAAATCTATGAAATTTAAACACAAGGTTTATAACCACAAAAGGAAGGTTGGGATTGATTTTGGGGGTTATGGTCCCAACAGTTTAGGAATAAGGGGCCAAAAAGGGGCCCAAATATACATTTTTATACAACTTTTGCGGTTGTATATTGGTATCACGTTGTCGTCGTCCGAAGACAGTTGGTTTCCGGACAATAACTTTAGTATAATTAAATAGAAATCTATGAAATTTAAACACAAGGTTTATAACCACAAAAGGAAGGTTGGGATTGATTTTGGGGGTTATGGTACCAACAGTTTAGGAATTAGGGGCCAGAAAGGGGCCAAAAATGAGCATTTTTCTAGTTTCCAGACAATAACTTGTGGAACGGTGTATGGATCTCTCTGAAATTATACCATAAGTTTCCATACCACAAAGGGATGGTTAGGATTTGCTTTGGGGGGTTATGGCTCAAACCGTTTAGGAATTAGGGGGAAAAACAAAGGTGTTCTGGTTAATGGACAAATACTTTAGTACAAAACATAATTTAAAGCATTGTAAGGGAGGTAATTCAAATACATCATTTGAATTAACTCCCTTACACTGCTTTTAAATTATGTATAAATAATGGTTAATGAACAATTAAGACAATTTAAAAGCAGTGTCAGGGAGGTAATCCAAATATAACCGTAATGATTACCTCCCTTACACTGCTTTTAAATTATGTTTAAAGAAATGCATATTTATAAAGGAAGACCAATAAAAATATCTTTTTTTTACAAAAAAAATCCATATGCAAGATTTGACACCATATTTTAAATTCTATTATAAAATAGATTAAGGTAGCACTATGGTAAATTTAAATGGGTAATTATGGTTGCAAACTCCATTGGAAATTTGAATTGAGATTATGACCATATCTTGGGGGAAAAATGGGGGGGGGGTTAAGGGGGTTAATACGCATCAACATAAGTTTATTGCACAAAAGCAAAAAAAAGAGGGGGGTAAATTTTTTATTTTTTTTTGTGGGGGGAGGGGGGTCAATTTGCAACAGCACAGTGTGTTGCACAAAAGCAAAAAATTGAATATAAATTCAAATCATATAACCATATCTAAGTTCTTTGACTACAGTTATTCTGTGTCAGAAACCTTTTATGTGTCAAATATTTAATTACAATCCAAATTCAGACCTGTATCAAGCGCGAATATTGTGTCCATTTTTGCCCCAACTGTTCAGGGTTGGACTTCTGCGGTCGTATCCAGCTGCACTCGGCGAAGCAATTTATTATTAGCTCACATGACCCAAAGGGCAATGACCCAAGGGTCAAGTGAGCATTTTTAATCAATTGGCGTCTTGTCTTTGTTCATAAACATTTACAAAAAACTACAGCACCAATTGGAACCAAACTTGGCCACCGGTAGCATTGGGGTATCCACTTGAAGAGATATGTCTGATGATTCTGCATTTTTGTCATAACCATAAAAAACTATAATAGAGAGAAAATCTTTATATTCCAAAAATGATAAACAAGACAAGGTATACTATAAGGCAATGTTTTGAAGACTCATTTTAGGAGTTAGTCCCCTGAAACCACAATGTTTTCCCTTTTTGCTTATTATTTTGAAAACTATAATTGATAATGAGAAACATTAAATTGCAAAAATGATCAGCAAGATGAGATCTACAAATTTGTCAACATAACAAAATCATCGGTTGACTTCTTATAGGATTTTTGCCACTAAATGAAAATGTTTACCAATTTTTGTCTCGCCTTGACAGAGTCAAAAAGCGAGACATACATGTAGGTATGCTGTTTCCGGTGGCGGCGACGGTGTCTTCAACAATGTATTAGTTTGTGATTAGGTCAAGTTTATGGTGAACCACAAGTGGTAGGTCAATCATATTTGGTATGCAGTTGTAATAGCATTGTCACATCTCATTTCCATGGAGATTATTTGGCCCTGCCCCCTCAGTCATGGTCTATTGACTTAGAAACTTTTGCTTATTTTACATGTATTAGTTTGTGATTAGGTCAGTTTATGGGGAACCACTAATGGTAGGTCAATCATATTTGGTATGCAGTTGTATTAGCATTGACATATCTCATTTCCATGGAGATTATTTGGATCCACCTCCTCAGTCATGGTCTATTGACTTTGAAACATTTGCTTAGTTTTCATGTATTAGTTTGTGATTAGGTCAGTTTAAGGGGAACCGTTAGTGGTAGATCAATGATAATTGGTATGCAGTTGTATAAGCATTAGCACATCTCATTTCCATGGAGAATATTTTTCCTTACCTTTCAATCATGGTCTATTGACTTTGAAATGTATTGGCATTTGCAAGTTCCATTTCCATGGAGATTATATAACCCCACCCCCTAATTATGGTTCATTGACTTTGAAATATTTACTTAGTTTACAAGTTAATGTTTGTGTTAAGGTTTGTTTAAAGGGAACAACTTATGAAAAGTCAATGGTATTTGGTATGCAGTTGTATTAGCATTGGCACATCTCATTTCCATGGAAGTTGTTTAGCCATGAACCTTCAGTCATGGTTCATTGACTTTGAATATTTCCTTAACTTACATGTTAAAGTATTGCTATTTTAATTTCAATATTTGCATTATCAAAATAACAAATAGGCGAGACATTTCTCTGTGTTAACAGTTTATTAGGTTGTTTTGTCAAACATAAAGTAAATGAAGGAAAAACTGTTACCAGCAAACTTGACCAGCAGAACATGCTATACAAAATAAGTCAACATGGTAGAAATGATCATACTACTCCCTATAGGAGTAATTGAACTTAAATGATGATTTTTGCATATTAAAAAAGTAATAGACATGCTATTTTATCAGTGTAGATAATTTTTAAAGAAATGCATGTATTTATCGGTCATTTTCCTGTGTTGATTTTTAATTGTATTTCTTTTGTTTGTATTTCTTTTGTAATTCCACATGATATAGATTAAAAAGGGGAGCGGGAGAGCTCTAAAAATTTAGTCAGCAGCTGTCTTTTGTCATATCTTAAGGTCTTTTTGGAAAATTTCGTTCTTGACACATCTCTTTATTCATACACAAAATGTTGGGTATGCTTTGTTAAAGCGGACATTTTGAACTCCCCCTCCCCATGAGGGAATAAGCATAGATAAACATGACGAGTGAGTTTTGACATCACCTGTCCTCTGTTAGCTTTTCACATTTTTATTTTCTATTTGAGAACTACTAAACAGATTGAAACTAATTCTGACATAAATTTCATTACAAATTTCTTTCCAAGCATAACTTTATGAGATTAATGATAGGAAGAACCTCTCAAACGAACCTCAGTAAATGTTCATTGTGTGGCATTGGTGGCACATATATACGTCCAATTGAAACCCTGTGGAAAGCTGCCCAATGCTAACACAGCAGATTTACTTTTTCCCCGGGAATACTGAAATGTGTGCCATTGCAATTATCTAGCAGGCTGTTATGTTATTTATAACTTAATTGTTTTTCATACTTTTGAAATATGTCTAGAGTAACCTTAAAAGGTTGTCGAACAACCCAACATTAATGATGTTGCACAAAGGAAATAGTGCTCAATGGAAAGTCTTGCATTGTTTTTCTGTGCTTTTGATAAGAATGTTAAAGAACAATTGTATGAAATAATTCATCGCCGAAACCTTCTATGTACAAGTCGTTTACATTTGTCAAATGGCAAAACGTCCATGAAAATTGTTTGGCAGTCATTTTAACTTGCAAATGTTTAAGACGAAAAGTAAATTTCCATGATTTATAATTAATACTATGCGTTATAGCCACAGGGACTCGGTTAGCAGATTAACATTTTTTTGTATATCCTGCCTATTTGTATTACATTATTAAAGTATTTAACGTTGTCTTTGTTTTTTAAGCAATGTGCAGTTTACTATCCATATCCCTATACTGAAAAATCCTAGGTAGTTGCATTGAAATAGTCGATATATTATATCCCAGTTAAAACTGCTTGATTTTGAAAAAAAATAATTTGGATATTATTTTCACTATAAAATTATATACCGGTATATAAAAAAAGTTTCTAAAATATATATACTGCATCATTGCAAAGCCAACAACATCAGCATTTTGAGTGATAATAAAATTACCCCACCTCAGATTGTTTCCAGTATGATTTAATCCGTTTGTGTGCAGAGTGACACCTACTGATCCAACTTAAAATACTTGCACAACATATGAAAAGTCTAGTACATAGTGGAACTAAACCATACATCACAGTGAGACTCCATAATTCTGATGAAGATATCCCAGCATAAGTTAAATTCCAATGATTCATCAGACTTAATGTTATTTGTCCAGATCTAGCATACATGGCATTTATAAGCTGTTGCTATCACTGGTGCCAACATTATTAATGTGAAAGCATCAGACAAATTGTAACAACACATCACAATATATAAACAAAAACTGAAAATAAGCCAAAAAGGGTGTCACTGATAACCAGGGAACATATGGGTTATGTTGGCTTGCTATGCTATTTAAGTATACACAGTCATGCCAGTACCTCCTTTTACTCGTATGAAGTAAGAAATTAAAGACATTTATACATTTGCTTCAATATTGGTGGTCCATATACATTTGAAGGAGAAATCAAATAAATTATGAACTACCACTGTGATACATTAGTAGATCTTGGTTTTAATCATGGCCAGATCAAACGACAGACCTGAAAAACGGCAGTTTCTAGTTCACTGCTAATGTCAACTGATGACTAGTCTTTTAAGATGTAAGCTTGTAAACCTAGCACATAAAAAAAATTATGCATGCAGTGTGTTGGTTATGATAAAAAAGCAAGGTCCATCATAATGAACACAACAACGTTCATATCGATATTAGCATTCTATACATGTATAATATCTTGTGAAAAAATGTATC